CCACACCAGCTGATGCAGCGTGTGCAAGTGCAGCACGTGCAGCAGCTACTCGGCCACAGCAGCAACGGCCAACACCAGCTGGCGGACCATGTGCACCACCACCACGTCCACCACGTCCATGTGCAGCAGGACTCTGTTCAACACCACCAACACCACTACCAACAACAACAACATCAGCACCACCAGCAGTCTGTCTTCCAGCAGGGCCAAGAGCGTCTTCTTCATGACGACGGGCGCCCGGCTCGCAAGCGGGCGCACCTCAGTCTCTCCTTTGCACAGCAGGTGTATCTTGCACAGCAGCACCAGCAGCAACGGCAGCACCAGCACCAGCAGCAACAACAACAGATGGCTGCTGCAGCCCAGGCCTACACAGCCCCTGCCCCTCCTTTCCAAGCAGTCCAGCCGATGTTGGCACAGGCAGCGACGCAGGCTGGGCAGCATGGGCAACGCGACCAGCCGTCCTTGCCACAGCAAGCATCTCTCGAACAGCAGCAGAAACGGAAACGGCGGCTCGCAAAGAAGAAAGACACGGAACAGACTCGTCGTGACGCCATCAGAGCTCATGTCAATGAACTCCGCCGTATCGTGCTGCCAGAGAATGCCTCGGCCATCCTGCGCTGGAGTTACCAGGCGGTGGTCATGACATGTGCTGTCTACGCCTTCACCAAGGCTGACCCAGGGTTCTTTGAGCTCGCAAACATGCACCGCCAGCGCGTGCGCAAGGAGCTACTGACGGCCGCCTTTGTGCGCCAGGTTTTGCCGGAGTGCGCCCACGCTGACGCCTGCACAACGCCATCACAGCGCAGGCTGCAAGCGCTGACAGGGGATAACAAGCGAACCGAGTATGAAGGAATTGTCTACGATCGGCTGGCCGCCCTTGTCAGCCCCGAAGAGAATGAGCACGCGAGGATTTTGCGAGCTGCACGTGACAGGATCACAAGCGACGGGTGCCGACTCACTGAACAGGAGCTGATTGAGGTCGCAGAATTGCTTGGCGAGCGCAAGCAAGGGTGATTCCTCCATCGCTGCGCGCGACTTGCTGCACGCGGCTTGCTGCTGTCGTGTCTTTGAATTTGCCTTGATTCAGTCTCTGCCTGACCGTGCCCCTTGTCTTGCGAGCTGTGTCGTGCTTTCTGTCTTTCTTTCTGTGTCTCGTCACTCGTGTCACTGTGCTTACTTCACGTTGGCTATTCCAGTCAATACCACTTCCTTCTTCGTCTTCCTCCCTGCCTCCCTGCCTGCCTGCCTCAGCCTCTTTACCCGCGTAATGCTCCTCCCCTGTCACATCTTTCACGTTGTGATCACTCGGCTCTAACTCATCTTGCCTCACACCTATCCCTCAATCCTTTCATCCTTCAAACCATCTCTACCCTATCCTCTTCCCTTCATCATATGCGATCGTTTGTGTATTCTCCTGTTTTGATGTGCTGCGATGTCGTCCCCATATCCTTTGGTTGTCTGTCTGTCTTTCTTGTGTGTGTTCATTTCTTTACTTCTTGCGCGTTGGCCATGCTGTGCTTCCCGCTCACGCTGACTGCCTGGCTTCCCCCAGCGTGCGTGTTCATGTTTGTGCGTGCTCGGTGTTCCTGTGCGTGCTTGCTTGTGCTTCCTTTTCGTTTCATTCGTGTCGGATCTCCTCTACTCTTATTGCTTGTCTGTCCAATGTCCAGTACAAATCCCGCAGCTACGCCAGCAAAGCAAGCGAGAGAGCGAGATGCTTGCTGACATCCACCACACTCGTCCCCCTCCCCACACGCAATGCGTGGTGTGGTTGATCGGGAACCAGCCGGAATCAGCTGCTTGTGCTCACTTCGTCCCAGCAAAAAACGCGTCAACCTGTTTTGTGCAAAGAAGCAACAAGGATGATGATGATGATGCTCGCTGCAAGCCGCACCGCACCTGCTCACGCTCACTGACCGAAACACACCCACCCCACACACCTGAGCACACTGCCACACACCCCAAGGCAGAGCGACATCGTCTAACCGTCCACTTGCTTGCATGATGCATGCACGCGACAACCGCGCTGCCTGTCTTTGTTGCATGTGCAACCGTCATGGCATCGTGTACTTGCACGTGATGGTGATGAGCACGGGTGGGAGTTACTGACCAAGGTGCGGCTGTTCACACCACACTGGCTGAGCGAGTTCAAAGCGGAGGCGACCGATTCCACCCGGCCGGCATCCGCAAAGGGGATCAGGAAGTTCGCTTGAAGGAACTGCAGCCACAGGCAACAATGCGTTCACTTCCCACTCGCACAACAGCAGCACACACACACACACACACCACATACACTTCGTTGCAACTGAGCGACAACGCTGGATATGGATGGTTCGCTGGGCGCTCGCATGGCTGCCTTTGTGGCAGCTACTGCTCTACTTGTGGCCAGCTTTGGTGTCTCTGATGCCATCCTCGACCTGGGCGATGAGCTCACCTTGGAAGACTTTCTCGCAGACGCGGTATCGTGTGCATGTGTGCGTGCATGTGCGCATGCGCATGTATGTGTGTGTGTGTGTGTGTGTGTGTGTGTGTGCGTTCACGTGTGTTCATGTGTGTGACTGTGATTGTGGGGTTATCGACTGCCCTTGTCCTGTCTCCAGTTCTTCTGCGCATGCTGCACACACACACACACACACACACACACACACACACACACACACACACACACACACACACACACACACACACACACACACACACACACACACACACACACTCTCTCTCTCTCTCTCTCTCTCTCTCTCTGTTTCACGCACTTCTGTTTCTAACCCCTACCAACACTTCTCCATCCTGGATCACACATTGGCTCTCAGGGCATTGATGGCTGTGTGATGCTGACCCCATCGTCCACCGGCTATCATTTTGAAAGGGGTCAGGCTTCAGGCCTCTCACGCTCCCGATGCACTCTTGGTCAGTGTGCCTGCGCGTGCCTGTGCGCTTGCAAGTTTGTTACATCCTGCCGTTGTCGGTCCGTGTCGAGTCTTGGTCTCATCCCTGCCACTTCATTGGGCCTCGACTCACTACTTGCAGGTGGCGCGTGCCAGTGCCGCCAGTTCGAGGCGTGTGACAACGGAGGTGTGTGAGCATCAATGGCTCTCATGATTGCTGTCGTTGTCGTTCAGAGTTCAAACCTGTGTGCTTGCATGCACGCATGGGACAATACACGTTTGTATGCCAATGATAGGAATCCCTCAAAGTTGTTGTCATCTGCCTTGCCGCACATCCCTTCTCATCACTCTTTCTCTCTTCGTCTCCCTTCATGCCAGATTGCCTCAAGGTGTACCGCTGCAACGACACGGAATCCAACGGCTGCGTCGCCGTCTCCAGTTGCGTCCAAACCACATTCGACACGACGTTTGAGGTGCACTCGTCAGCCACGTGCCGCATGTGTACTGCTTCTGTGTGCATGAGCGTTCATTCGTTGCCGGTCGTCTCTCTGTTGTCTGACACCAGACTTTGAAGCAGCCTCGAGTCTTGTGTGACGCCTCTCACAAGTTCATCTCCCCGAAACCCACACAACACACACACACACCCTGTGATACACGCACGCGCACACATGCTCAGGTGACTGTCGACTGCCGCGAACCACTTGATGAGCGCGATGAGGACGGTATCGACTTCTTTGGCATGCGCTGGAAGCAGGCCCTCGCTGAGGACTGCAACATTGGACGCGTGAGTTGCTGGCGTTCTGTGTCAGCGTGTGTTCTATGTTTATGCATGCGGATGTTTGTGTGCGTGTAGGCACGCCCTTTCACTCACGTATGTATACACACACACACACACGCACACTTACACACACAAACACACACAAACACTCACGCACATTCACCTTTGCTGTTTCTTCCCATGACCCAAATGCACACGCACGCAGGTGTGCCGGTACAACGGCGACACAGCAGCCACGATTGAAGTCATCAACGGAACCACATTTCGCACCACCACCCTCAACCCAGCGCACGTACAGCTGCTACAGGCCTGCGCAATGACGGTGGACAGGTTCCGTTTCAACTTCTGCTCAGTCACTGGCATTGTCGAAGTTGAACCGACAACGACCACTACCACCACAACCACAACGACAACGACAACCACAACAACTACCATGACAACCACAACAACTACAACCACGACTACAACAACAACAACAACAACAACAACAACAACAACAACAACAACCACGACTACAACCACGACTACAACCACGACGACGACGACGACGACTACCACCACAACAACCACTACAACCACTACAACAACAACCACGACGACCACAACAGAGTGCACACCTGACTGCGAAAGCAGCGTCAACGCCTGCATCGGCAAGGTGTGGTCATGAAATTCATTAATTGCTGTAATTTTTGTCGCTGTTAGCGCTTCTCCACCTTGAATGCCATCAACGCTCGACTCACGCACTGTTTCTCCTACGCACACACGTGCACACATACATACGCATGCACACGCATGCATACAAACAAAGGCCATTGAGGAGGATGGCGTGCGCGATGCGTTTGGGGACTGCCTGTCCACCACAGATCACTTCAGCGTGTTTGCGTTTGTGCAAATGGGCATCTGTCTTGCTGATTGTGATGACATCACGCCGACCACCACCCACGCCGAGGCGCAACGCTCCCTCCGATGCTTGTGAGTTGCATATGCTTGCGGGTGGATGTGCACTTGTGTGTGTGTGTGTGTGTGCAAGTGTACATGTGTGTGCTCCACGACGTGACTATGCACTGTCCTTGTCAAGTTACTCACGCGACGAACACACATGTCCTTTCTCATACGCCTCTTTCAGTCGCTTCTGCGCCTATGGGTCAGCTGACATGGACTGCGATGTTGATTTCACGACGACGACAACAACAACAACAACAACAACAACAACAACAACAACGACAACGACGACGACGACGACGACGACGACGACGACGACGACAACAACAACTACAACTACAACAACCTCAGGGTTTCCCGAAAACATCTGCCCAACAATCAGCACACCTGTGGCTTCCTTGTATGATTATTCCGATGGTAAAGGCGTTCAATTTACCATTGACGGCGGTGCACCTGTTGGTACGGAGATCAAGTGTGCTGGTTATTCCGATGAACCCGACAACCAATACGCCAACATCCTCGACAATGCAACGGCGTTTTGGTTCGTATCGACTCTGCACGATCGATACTTCCACTTTGCAATCTTGGAAGATGCGACTGGCGCGACGCAGACTCTCCAAGAATATGGGCTCAACGCCACATTTACCCACGGCTGCAGTGCGCGGCTCAAGAACTCTGGTGCAGACTGCCCTGTCGTGCTGTCTGATCCAACGTCTACCAGCCCCACGTGCTTTCCTGGTTGGGCCGAGGTGATTCTGGAGAGCGGCGAGCGTGTGCAGCTGCGGAACCTCAAGACTGGCGACCGCGTGCTTTGCCTGCAGGCATCGGCCGGCAACGCCCTCGGCTACTGCGAGCTCAAGACTTTCCAGCACGTGGAGCTGAACGGTACCACGACGTCTGTCGAGCTGCACTACACGGACAAGGACGGCAACCCCGCACTGATGTCCGCAACACCGGACCACTTTGTATTCCGCGCGGACGAGGACGTACACCTCGCTGACGGCTTGACGGTGCAGCCTGCAGGCGAGTTCATCTTCACTGGCGAGTTTGCTGTTGGCGACCGCCTGCTGCGCTACGACGCCGACGTTGGTGTCGTGTACACCGTGAACATCACCAGCATCACGTACGCTATCGAGCCAGACTACTTCACGCCGCTGACGGACGATGGCTCCACGCTCTTTGTTGAAGACGTGTTTGCGTCCTCGTTTGCCATCTTGGAGAGTCCTGATGTCATCCGCCTCGTCCTGGCGCCCATCTGGCAGAACGACGACGCACGCTTCACAGAGCCGACGGCAGGCAAGGACTTCCCCGAGGGCCTGCACCCGTTCACGACGCAGCTGTACTCCATCTTCCTCGCGGCAGAGATGAACGGCCAGGCGATTGACGTTGAGGGCATGGCCACCGCCATCGCCCAGCAGCTCGCCGTCGGCCACGTCTTCACGCAGCAGGAGATGCTCCAGCTCATTCCAAACTACATCAGCTGAGGGTGTACGCATGTGTTCGTTTGCTCAATTGCTTACTTTGTGTGTATGTGGTGTGTGTGTGTGTGTGTGTGTGTGTGTGTGTGTGTGTGTGTCTGTGGTCACCTTCCCTCTTGTGCAACAGTCGTACCGTGTGTGATATTCTTTCACAGGAACTTGCCATCACAAAACACGCGCGACAGTCACTCACCCTCACAACTACATGCAGCACTCACCCACGTTGTCCCAGCGAAATGACCATAAACCAAGCTGAAATGTCAATAGTATACGTTCAGTAACACGCCACAACGAACACGCGCTTGCATGCAACACCTGACGTCGTCTCACATCATGTCACCACCATCGTCATCATCGTCATCATCATCAACACCATCACCATCGTCATCACGTGCAGCAGTCGTGTTGTCGTGGCTGCCAAGGCCATGTATCTTCCTCCTGTGTGCCACCAAACTCTGCTGCCAGGCTGTTTTGAAATCACACACATCACACTTGTACTGCCGCCCCTTGGTGTGCAGCTTCACGTGCCTGATCAAGTTGCTGTGCGAGGCTGCTGAATAGTTGCACAGCTCACATTTGAATGGCTTCTCACCAGCGTGCGTGCGCAAGTGTCCCTTGAAATTGTACGACCGCGTTGTGGTGTAGCTGCATTTGTCGCACTCGTACACCTTCTTCGTGCGCTTGTTCGTCGTTGCGTGGTCTGGCTGGGCTGTTTCGGACGCAGCAGGTGCTGAGGTCGCGTCGCTGGACTGCTGTTGCGGGGCCACGTGCGATGTCTTCTGGCCGTCGTGTTGGTTTGCTTGTGGCTGGCGCGCCGCCTGTGGGCACGTGCGACGATTGTGCCAGGCCGCTGACACAGCGTGCACTTTTTGCTTTGCTGAGGCTGCTCGCTCGGTTGCTGGTCTGCCTTCGGGCAACTTCGACGGTTGTGGCCACACATTGCATACAGAGCACTTGACGGGCTGTCGTGCCGTCGCTGCTGCTGCTGTTCTTGCTGTTTCTGCCGTGGCTGATGTTGCTGTGCATCCACACCTGCTTCTTCTCTGTTGGCTGTACCATCCCCGTCAACTTCCTTGTGCTGGTGCTGGTGCTGGTGCTGGTGCTGGTGCTGGTGCTGTTGTTGTTGTTGTTGTTGTTGTTGTTGTTGTTGTTGTTGTTGTTGTTGTTGTTGTTGTTGTTGTTGCTGCTGCTGCTGCTGGTGTTGTTGTTGTTGTTGTTGTTGTAACCGTGTTCTGCGCCTGAGCGCCTGCTGTCGAATTGATCTTCGCTTCCTGTCAGCATCATTGCGCACCGCTCCTGCCCGCTCGACCTGCTTGCTTCCGAATACCGTTCGCATCAAACCCTGCCGTTGACGCTGCGTCCACTGGCGGCTTGGCTTTATGTGTGCGCGCCGCTCTTGTTGCTGTTGCTGTTGCAGTTGCTGATGCGCGGGTGGGTTGGCTGCATTTGGACAGGTTCGTCGGTTGTGGCCAGGAAGCTTGCACACAGAGCACAAGACGTGCTGTTCCTGCTGCTGCTGCTGCTGCTTATGCTGCTGCTGTAGCTGGTTCTGCTGCTGCTTATGCTGTTGTTTATGCTGCTGTTGCTGTTCCTGCTGTTGATTTTGCTGCTTATGCTGTAGTTGCTGTGCATTCACGCCTGCTTCATCTCTGGTGGCTGTGCCATCCCCGTCACCTTCCTTGTGCTGCTGCTGCAGCTGCAGCAGTCGCGTGCTACGTCGCGTTGCGTGCGGTCGTATGGATGATCGCTGCTGCTGTCTACTTGTGGCATCTGCGTGCACCTGCTGCTGTTCCTGCCCCTTCTCTCCCGCATTCAGGGCCACTGCTGTCGTTGTGGTTGCTGCTTTGGACGATGACGATGACGATGGCAGTGACGAGGATGATGAGCTGGATGAAGGTGCACCATCACTGTGTCGACCATGCGCTGTCTTCTGCAGTTGCTCTGCATGCTGTCGCGCCCACCGCTGGTTCTGCTCTTGCAGTTCTTGCTGCTGTTGTACTCGTTGCTGTTGTGTTGCTCGCTTCCCTCGTCTTCCTCTTGCCTGCTGCTGCTGTTGCTTGCTCTGTTTCTCTAGTGCTCGCTTACGTTGCTCCCCTCTTCCGCT